GTGAGGCAGATCACTCACCAGCTTCTGACGGCCGGCCACTCACGGTGGCTGCTGGCCGCTCACTCTGGCTGCTGGCTACACATGGTAGCTCATGGCAACCCACTGCAGCAGGGGCTGCAGCCTGCACCGTCGCCGGCGACTCATGGCAGCCCAGCTCCAGGTTGAGCTGTTGTTCAGCATCTTATCTGTGGAGGGCAGTGTCACTGGCCCTCATGTGTGGGATCCGAACCGGGGCCCTCTGGCATCCCAAGCCAACTCTTAACCAACGCGCCACTCGGCCGGCCCGGCACAATGTCACATTTTTAAGAGGGACTGCCAAATCCACACAATTTGTACTTACAGATTTGGTGTGCTAAGAACAAAGGCAAGAGAAACCTCTATGTCTCACATGATTTTTTTCCGTTGATAGATAACAATGATAAGGAAGGATTTTAGCCCTTGGCAGTTACCTTAGTTCTGACCTGGAAGGGGGAGGGTGTGCGGATGTGACATTGAAGTAACCGAAGGCCAAGGTCAAATGAATGGAGGGCCTAATTAGGTCCCTAAACAGAGAACTGATTGGTGTCCTCCTGGCCACCCTCCCTTCTGAGGATGCTATCAGCTCCAGCCCACAGGATTCTGCATTCTCTGGCTTTGTTAAGGTCTCACCTGATCCCAAATAACATTGCCCTCTGACTAATACTAATACAGTAATGCCTTGGTTTGTGAGCATAATTTGTTCCAGAAACAAACTACTCATATTGCAAGATATCGTTTATTTGCCAAGTTAAAATGTATTAGAAATGTTTGCTCGTCTTGCACAAACCAAGTAACTCGCAATTCAAGGTTTTACTGTACATTTTTTTAATGTTTGGATGTGCCATAAAAGGAAAATCTTGAATTTAAGCCTGGAAGTGAAATAGGGTGCTTAGTCTGCAGTGACAAAAGAAGACTGGAGGGCCGGAGGAGTGGCACATTGGTTAAGAGCTGGCTTGGGATGCCATCTCTGAGCAACAGGGCCCTGGTTCGGATCCCACATGCGGGCCAGTGACACTGCCCTCTACAGCTAAGATGGTGAACAACAACAGCTCGACCTGGAGCTGGGCTGCAGTGAGTAGCTGGCAATGGCTGCCAAGAGCCACCGTGAGCAGTCGTCCAATGGCCAGCGACCGATCTGCCTCATTCGGGAAGAGCACAATGATAATACAAACATGGGCCAGTGAAGCAACGTCCTCCACAACTAGACTGAAGAACAAAAGGACAGCAACTTTTCTGTTCCCCTTCCCCGATTCCCCAACACTGTCCCCCTCCCCCAATTCCCCAATTTAAAAAAATAAATAAAAAAGAAGACTGGAAATGGCAGGAAACTGGTGGGGTCAGTCAGAACAGCCCAAAGACTCTACCCTTGGTTTCTGTATTCCTCCCCTATCAGCTCAATAGTGACACTCTGAGTGTACCCTGGTTCCCAGCCCAGATAACAGCAGTCAGGATAAACAGTTGCTGTAATGTAATGGGGTTAAATGAAAGGCTTCTGACTCCAACTTCAATTATAGTCTAGAAAAGAATTTAGTAATGGAATCTAAGGTAACCAGAAATCAGCTGGAAGAAAGATGTGTAATCACATTTTCCAGTGTTCAAGTTGCCCTGAGGGAGGGTCTAATTCATTTATTCAACAGATATTTATCAAAGGCCCACTATGCGATAAGTATTGGGGTACAGGGGTGAACACAGAATGATCCTGTCCACATGGAGCTTACAGTCGCACACAGAGGAGACAGACAATAGTCGATGACTATGCCATTCCACTCAGGGTAAGTGCTATGACTTTAAAACACAGGCACATTTAGACACCATTAAGAAAGTCTTAGATTTTGCAAGTTAAATGTGTAGAGACACTCCCAATATAGAACACCTTAAAATGCTGAATAAAATATAAAAATCATGATCTTTTTTGTCAATTTTGTTAAGGTGCAATTTACATGTAATGAAATTCACTTATTTTATTTTATTTATTTATTTTTTTTTAAGATTTTTATTGGGGAATTGGGGGATGGGAACAGACAAGTTGCTGTCAGTTTGTTCTTCAGTGTAGTTGTGGAGGACGTTGCTTCACTGGCCCAAGTTGGCACCATCATTGTGCTCTTCCTGGGCGAGGCAGATCAGTCGCTGGCTTCTGGACGGCCGCTCACTGCGGCTGCTGGCCACTCACGCTGGCTGCTGACTACTGCACATGGTAGTCCCATGGCAGCCCACTGCCACAGGCGCTGCAGCCCACGCCATTGCCGGCGACTCACGGCAACCCAGCTCCAGGTTGAGCTGTTGTTCAGCATCTTAGCTGTAGAGGGCAGCGTCACTGGCCTTCATATGTGGGATCCGAACAAGGGCCCTCTGGCGTCCCAAGCCAGTTCTTAACCAACGCGCCACTCGGCTGGCCCAAAATTCACTTATTTTAATTGTACAATTCACTGAATGTTGACAAACATCTAGAGTCATGTGATCACCACCACAATCATGATACAGCACATTTCTATCATCCCACAAAGTCCCCTGTGTCCCTTTGCAGTCAGTCCCTTCATCCTACCTCCTGATCCCTGGCAACCACTGATCCACTTTCTGTTTCTGTAGTTTTGCCTTTGCTAGGATTTCGTATACATTAAATCATACAGTATGTCATCTTTTGTGTTTGTTGGAGGAGGTAATCAAGAGGAAGTGACCGCCAGCTGACCTGAGAGCTGCACCCAGGCAATCGGAGGTTCCTCTCCCCTTCCCTGACCTTGGAATGTACGTTCCACTACCCTCCCTCTTGAAGCTGCCCCAAGGACACAGACTTGAGATAGTATATGTGTTACTATGTTGTTGAGACCACCTGGATGTGTGCATGGCTGAACCCAGTTAAGGCCTTTATATAAACTTTGAAGATTCTGGTGGGTAGGTGCAGAGATCTCTTCTTGCCACACAAAACTCACAAGTTCCTCTGCTGGTTAAAACTGCCACCAACTAATCTGGAGTGGTCTGCCTCTTTCTTCCGCCTCTTCTCTGCCCTCTTTTATGGGATGTGGCTTCAGTTCTAACCTGGGACACTTAGCATCATGCTTTTGAAGCTTCTCCATGTTCATGTGCATGTGAGGTGTCTGTGCCTTCCTGTTGACGAGTGGCATTCATCCACTGAAGGGATATACCACTAGTTGTTTTACTAATTCCAGTTAATGGACATTTGAGTTCTTTCTGGTTTTTAACTATCATTGTGAATAAAAGGAATATAAATATTCACCTGTAAGCCTCTGCATAGACACATTTTCATTTCTCTTGGGTAAATACTGATGAATGGCATGGCTGGGTCATACAGTATGGTAAACAGAATTCTAAGAATAACCCCCAATGACCCTCCCCACTGAATAATCCCCACATCTTTGAGTGTGAGGTTTTTTTGTTTGTTTTTTTTTTAAAGATTTTTATTGGGGAATTGGGGGATGGGAACAGACAAGCTGCTGTCCTTTTGTTCTTCAGTCTAGTTGTGGAGGACGTTGGTTCACTGGCCCAAGTTGGCACCATCATTGCGCTCTTCCCGGGCGAGGCAGATCAGTCGCCGGCTTCTGGACGGCCGCTCACTGCGGCTGCTGGCTACACACAGTAGCCCATGACAACCCACTGCAGCAGGGGCTGCAGCCTACGCCGTCGCAGGCGACTCACAGCAGCCCAGCTCCAGGTTGAGCTGTTGTTCAGCATCTTAGCTATAGAGGGCAGTGTCACTGGCCCTCATATGTGGGATCCAAACCGGGGCCCTCTGGCATCCCAAGCCAGCTCTTAACCAACGCGCCACTCGGCCGGTCCTTGCGTGTGAGTTTGATGGGATATTACTACTATGATTATTATATCTTATGTGACACAGGGAGATTATCTGGTTGGGCCTAATCTAATCATGCCATCCATTTAACAGCCAGTAGACTAAAAAAGAAGTCAGAGAGATGTAAAGCATAGGGGGTTCGATGCGTCCTATGCTTTGAAGCTTGAAGATAGAACGGGCCCCTACGAGGGAACATAGACAGCCTTCAGGAGCTGACAGAAGCCCCCAACTGACAAGCAGCATGAAAAGTCTCTATCCAGAGATAATCATCATATTGTAATGTACGCAGTGAAATCTTAATTCAAATAGGCCACTGGTTTTTAACTTTTAATAACTCAGATATGAAATATGCAATTTATAGTAAGGAGAAACCAATATGGGCATGTGTGTATATACGCAGTCCTGCTATGCTTTTACACAAAGCTCATGAATTTGTTTCATTTTACTTTTTAGTACCTATTTGTGATTTGATGAATATAAAATGTCCATACCCAAAAGTAACCAGATGGCATAGGAACATTTAAATTTTAAACATATATGGATAGTCTCATCCATTCTTCCCTGTTCCCTACCCAAACCTTCACCTGAAATAGTGCATTTAATTTTTTAACCGTGTGTGTGCATCGCAGCCTGATGGTGCCTGGTTGTATTCGGAAGTTTTTGAGCACAAGATAATTCACAGTCAAATACTATCATCCCCCAAGTCTCCCCTCTGCTCCACACATCTTTATGGGCCTCTCCTTACTTCTACCAGGAGCTAGCTAGTGCTGAGTCCGTGGAAAATAACTTTAAACTAGTATCTTAAGCAGAATAAAGTAAATATGCTGAAGAGAACGATGGAATTCATTCTAAAACCACGTATAAAGTCGCTTGGTCGCGAAGCAGTACGGAGGGGTCTGGGAAGTCCACTTAACCCCACCCACGGGTGGGCTCACGCGGCTCCGCTTCCATTCCCAAATGTCACTGCCTTCCAATTCCTTCCCTACCACCCTCGTGAATCTCTGAATCTGTGATTGAAAACAGGCATCCATTGACATCCTTCCCTGGACCGCCTAATGCTAGGTCGCAGTTGTCAGGGTAACAGCGTGTCCGAAGGGAGAGCCGGCTCTCCGGAGTTTCCACGGAAACCACTCCTGGCAGAGGCAGGTGCGGCGGGTTGGGTGGGGCGGGGCCCGGAGGAGCCCGCGGGCGTGGCCGCCAGGCTGCGGTGCGCCTTGCAGAGGTGCTGTATACTGTCCTTTTTATAAAGCACTTGGACTTGCAAACCAGAACCACCAATTCCTTCCGGCTTGATAAAATCCAGTCGCTCTCGGGGAGCTGTCCGCACTTTGGAGATGGTACAGGTCACGGAGGATCTGCTAAGGAGTCCCCCGAGACAGTAAGATTCTGTTGGCCAGAGTCCCCTGGAGAGGCGGGGGCGTTCGTGGGCGCCACCAAAACGTGAGGGCAGCACAATTCCATGAGCTTCCTGCGCTTTGCATAGTGACAGGATATCCCACCACTGCCCAGCAATCAAGCAGACATCTGATTGAGGTTTGCTGCATTCCTTTTAAGTAAACACCCTTTACATCTGGAGACGTAGGTTAGTTAGGTTAACTGGAGACGCGCCCGCCTCTTGTTTTGTTTCACAAATACCGTTGGGAAGAATATCGGATTCATGCTCGGAGTGAATTGGAAACAACTGAGGTTTATGGAGAATTCCTAGGTCAAGGCTGGCGTTTGAACCTTTCCCTGGTGGGTTTCTGCACAGTCGTTGCAGCTGCGGCATAGCCGGGACTGAGAGAGGGTGCTTGCGGTTCAACTTGCGGACCTCAGTCCCCAGCCTGTCATCTGTGTGTCTCTTTATGGGGGGGATGGGCTGCCTGACATAATTATTAAACCTGGCAGCTGCATTGGCGGCCCGGAGGAGCATTTTTGAGTGAGCTTGCAGAAAATGAGGGGCTTTCAGCTGGCGGCCTGCTTGTCACTTCTCGCTGCCTGAAAGGCGGCTCGCAGAGCACTTTTTCTTCTTTCTAATCACCAATAGCGGGGGCAGTGTGCGCGTTTCACCGAAGCCATTGGAAACGTGAGTATCTGTGGCTCCGCGCCGCTGGGCTAATAAGGCATCCGGCCCGGTGGCCGCGACGCCGAGGCGGCGCGCGGAGAGGCCAGAGCGCGGGGGATCCGACTGCGGCCGGCCTCGCGACGCACTTCGCCACGCCTTGTCTGGAGGTGGTTCGCGCTGGCGACAACCCAGGCGACTGCCGGAGGGGGCTTGAGAGCCGGGTTTCTAGCGCTTGGCTTGGGGACGGGTCCTGTGCTATGGGGACGGACGCACAAAGAACCTCGGGCCTAGGCAGCCGGTGTAACCCTGTCCGGCCCCAGTCCCTCCGGTCCTTTTTGAGAAAGGGAGAAGCTGAATTTTGCTGTTGGGTGGAAACAATGAGATTAGGTCAATGTTTTCCTGCCCGGGGTGGGAGGGGCGGGGTACATCTGTGCGCTGCGGCTGGACCTGCAGGGACCCGGGCGTGTCTGCGGGAGGGTAGCCCGTCCGTGTTCCTTTGGGATCTCAGCACCTTTTGGGATTTCAGAGCTCCCGAGCTTGCACTTCCCCTCCTCACATATTGCATTCTAACAAGGCAGACATTTTTATGGGCACCAAACGTAAAGCGAAAAGACCTCAGTTCCCTCCCTTTCTCCCCAAAGCACGAGGGTGAGAAAGGGGTGTGGTTTTTTTTGTGGTTTTTTTTTTCCTATCGATTACTGGAGAAAATCTTGAAGTTCAACTTCGTTTTTATATTTATTTCTGAACAAGAGTTCCAACTTTACAGAGCTGTCATCAGGCAAGGGTCTCTCCGTGGTTTGCATATTTGTGAAAGAACCTTGGCTTTTTCCCAGGGTTCCAAGGAGCGTTGAACAGAGTCAGTTGGCTCCGAATGTCATGTTCAATGTTTCTTGTGCATTTCCAAGTCCATCTGGTTCAGGCCTGAGTGTGTGATATAGAGACACAGTCTCTGCTCTTGCCAGATCTAAATAAAGCCTGACTCCCACCATCTCTGAGGTTCGGTTTCTTGATGTGGTGTCTGGTATCCAGCGTCAGGGGTTGATGGCCCCGGAAGGCTTACCTTCCCCAAGGGGCCGGGGAGAGGCAGGACGCAGGCGATGTTGGGTGCGTTGGTAGCCAACTGGGGGCCAGCTGCTTAAGCTTTCCAGGCCTCCTTTTCCTAAATCTGTAAAATGGGTATAATGAATGATAGCTCATAGAGATCGGCTAAAATTTCATGCTGGTCTTCCAAGTCTGTCTTCCACTAAACAGCATTTCTGTTATAACCTGACAGTTAAGGATTGGCTTAATGAGAGCAAGTAGGAAAGGAAAAAAAAAAACACCTACAAAATGGCAAATTTTTAAATAACAACCCCCCAGAAAAAGTGATCAAATTAGCTTAGAAATAGCCTAAAAACAACTAACCTAATGATTGTAAATAAATTTATAGGTAAAGAACTAAAACTACTGTGGATATGCATAGGACCCCTTTAATTTTACATACCAGTTATGGCCCTGATTGGTTTGGTGTCCCTGTAACTAGAAAACAAGACTTGATATTGGATGCTTTAATTTTCCCCCAAATCTTGGTTTTTCATCCTCGAGTGTGGTTTCTAAGGTCTTTCCAAATGAGTTCCTTGGTAACTAAAACCAGATGATGTTTAAGTAAAAAAGAAAAGCATTGTGAAAAGAAATTAATGTGATTCTGAGATATTAAGTATGACATGATAGAACCAGAAATAAACACTTCTACTCTGGTAAAGGAACAGTTAGAGTATTGTTTCTAATTTTGTCCATTGTACTTTAAAAAGTACATGGTGAAACTGGAGAAGGGGTTCAGAAGGGACCCACCAAAATAACTTTGAGCAGTTAAGAAGCTTAAAAAAAAAAAAATCCAAGGCTGTGTGAGATGCTGAGAATGGAATAAGAGAAAGCCAGGCTTTGATAGGATATAATGAACTTCAAAAATGGTGAAAGGGTGAAATGAGCCACCGAGGAGCTTAATTTATCACCTGAAGAAGAGAATAATTTATCACCTGCCCTTCATGGTCTACCTTTAGCCATTCTTAAGCCTAACATTAGAATCATCTGAGGCTTTAAAATTCTAAGGCCTAGGTCCCTTCCCAGGCCCAGGTTCTGGCTTACTAATGTGAGCGCAGGTATCCATACTTTGTCAATGCTCCCTAGGTGGAACAGGAGGTCAACGCGGGTCAAGCCTAAGATGGCAAAGTCAGTGTCTCCCGCGGCCAGCAGGGGGCACACAAGCCTGAGGGGGCCCAGGGACTGATGGGGGTTAACTCGGCAGGGCAGTTGTGATCCATGCAGGGATGCCTGCCTGCTTTGCCAGATCTTCTTATCTTATCAAGGGAACCTACCAATCGAGTTTTTTATTTATTAATATGAAATCTCCAGCCCTTTAAAGGTTGGCAACTAATTAAGAGAAAAACATTTGCAAGAGTATTGTGCTTGCCAAAGAAAACATATCCAGTGGAACTGGCCTATAGGTCAACCTCAGCCCTGGGTTTTTCCTTCTCTGCAGGGGAGGAGCAGGGGCTGGACTAGCTTGTTCTCCTAGCTTGAGTCCTGGTTTGTGTTTGTTTGTTTGTTTGTTGTGCTTTCTGTTTAACTTAAAAAAACACTTCTCTGCCTCTTTCTTTTTGAAGGCCCATGCATTTCTGGCTGAGTGTCTACTCCTTGATAGAGCTCTCTGGATACTGGACTGAGGAAAATTCTCTAGTTCCTTAACTTTCCCCAAGTTAGCAAGTTAAAGAGGCTGGCACATGAGATGGATAATAACCATGGGCCCTGAGGTAGGAAGTAACCACACCTGCCCTCTCTCCCCGACGTGGACCACTCAGAGCTCCCTGGCTTTCTCTGCTGGTGGTGGAGATGGGGCAAATGGGGATTGGGAGGCTTGATCTGTTCTGTGAGAGGCCTGGAAACTGCCCTGAAGCACCTTCTAGTGTCTCTTGGGTAGGGGGTAGGGGTAAGGGGACCACAGATGGTCCATGCATGCAAGCAGCACTGATGTTGAAGCATGATTTCGAAAGTTCCCAGTTCACATATCTCTTAAATCTCCCTCTAGCCTTCCCTAACCTAGGCGTTTTTCACACAAGCAGTGGAAAATAGTATGTCTCCATGAGCAAAGAGGAGGCATCCAACACCTCTTTCCACAATTAAGAACTTCTTTGCCAGAGGTAGAAAAAATTCCGGAGACCTAAACCTGTGATGACTGGATTCTTCTGGCCTCTCCCCTCTGGGTTAGGGCTGCTGCTATTTTGTTTGGATGTTGGGGACAGGTCAAGTAACAGGAAAGGAAAACATCTGTCTCTCTAGCTGTTCCCCCCTTCCTCCACTGTAGTGCTAAGGTCAGGGTGGCATCTGTCTCCTTCCCAGCGATGAGGCATGGGGAGCCTTCCAGGCTGACTCTGGGACCTGTGCATGCAAGGTGGCAGGGACCCACACGGAGGAGATGAGCACTTAACCCAGTGTGATGAACGTCAGCCAGCTTTGTTCAAAGCAGCTTTGTTAAGCAAGGTGGCACTGTACATAAATGGAATCAGCATTCTTTACCCACTGCCTGTTTTCACTTTCCGTAGGCTCTGGGTAAGCAGGCAAAACCAGAGTGATGGGACAGTTGCCAGGCTCCCCTCTACAGTGATGAAAAACCTCCCCAAAGCCATGGCCATACTGCTGTTTTCAGTTCTTTCGCCAGTCCCTCGGTTCTCCAAAGTTGAAAAAACAGTACCTGTGATCCAAAGAGTTTACTATCAACGAGAAAGGAAGGAGTGTTTTGAAGTTAGAATGTGGATAAAGCCCAGAGAAAAGGGAAGGACATAGGATTCAACTGTTTGGCTGGATTCTGGTTGCCCAAACCTTTTCTGGAAAAAAACCCCTGGTGTTTCTTGGGGGAGCAGAAACGACGTCAGCTCTAATTTTTGAGCTGCCAAGGCCTTAGGCTGGGGCCGGGTTTCTCTACCCTGGCATAATCTTTCTTCTAATGACTGTGTGAAGACAGTGGTTGATTCTTTTACTGGAATCCTAGATGAGCACATTCCACGCTGTCAGCCTCTGCCACCAGCTGGGAACCAGCTTCAGAGGCCCAGGATCCTCTGAAGGTGGGGAGCTATGGGGCCCATTTGAGGGTCTGACTCACCTCAAACCACCAGGCAGCCTCAGGGCTGTGGCCCGGGAATGACTGATTCCTCCCACTCCATCCTCCTGTAAGTGGGACGAACCTGCAGTGCCCTTGGGAATCAGCCTTACCTGCTATCTGTCTTCCTGCTGCAGCCCAGGCTGACTGTTAAGTACGTCAATTACCTTGCCTTAGTTCCTGGAACATCAAGTTCTGCCCATTTCTGGCTTGATAATGACAGGTTGCCTGTGGAGAATCCTGGCCGATGGGCTGCCTACCAGGGCTTATATAAGCAACTTGTGTTTTTCCTTAAGGTAGTTTATCTAATTCCTATTCTAGAGCGTTCCTGTTGGCTGTTTTTGGCAAATTCATTCCTAATAGAAGATCTACTTAAGTGTGTCCAGGAATAGAGGGAGAAGGTAAAACTCCAAACCATTCTTTTGAACTTCGTCTTGATGATGGTTGTAGACAAATTAAGGGGAAATCAGATACTGCTGGCTACAATGCAGCTGTCTATTCATGACTATTCAATTCAACTCTGTCCTACATGATCAAAGATTCTTGTTATATGAGATTCATAAGAATAGTAGTAAAGCTCAATTATGAAATTTTGTGAACCATAATTGGTTTTTAACATAAACAGAGCAATTCCATTGGAAATTTTATTTCAAAATAGATTATTCTCACTCTTATACAGAGGCAAGCCAAAAAGTAAATTATTCTTCTAACATATAGTTATACATAGTGGGCAACAAAAACGCAAAAAATTTTAAATTAAATCTATTTCTTTAATTACTCTGTTTCTCCTAAGTGTAAAAGAGAAGGAAACACATGACAATTTAAAAAATTAGTTCTTTGCCCTCATGTTTAAAAGAAAGGTTTACACATGCAAAAACACAGAGTATAA